TAAATAATGTTTGAAATATTGTGATTTTCTAATACTATCTTATAATAAAATCTTATAATAATTATATAATCCTAATTAATGAATTTATATTTATTGAGGATAACTTTAAACTTGAAGTTTTTGAGTCCCAATAAAAAGCCTTAAACTTGAATGGTTATTATGCAGTAGTAGGCTTCACGCCAGGTGTTTTCACCAAAACAAACGTTTCCAAAAAAAATTTGCAAGCCCTATTTACATTATCTTTTCACATACTATCTAGAAGATCATTAAGAATTAGATTGCTTGAATACAAAATCTACTAGTAATACTTTATACAGAGGTAGGCGTAATGAGCTGAAAAATTGGGGCCGACTCAGGAAAATTGTTCAAAAGCGGGGGTCAACTATATCACACTGTATCATGCTGGCACAGGTGGCACCAACAACTGGAAATTTTGGCCTGTTTTGATAAGCCTGATTAGGAATCGGACGGCTTATGACAAAGCCTTGACCTTTTCTCTCTCTCTATGTCCCAACGTCTCTCAGACTAGTTTTACCCTTCTGGGTCCACTAATCAGTGTCCTGACACATAATCCCACATTAATTAGTCCTAATTAAGACATTTTTGTCGGACATTTAAAATAATTTAATAATAATTTTTTATTAAAAATAAAAGATTTTAACTTTAAATCATAATACGTGACTTAAGAGAGTAGGATATGATAAAAAATGAAAGAATTATCTTATATTATATAATCATAGTAAAAATAAAATAAAAATTAAGACATTTTAATTGTTGGTGGATCCTTTTCGTACCTATATTTGACGGCAAATGTTAATAAGACAGGTTAGTCACCTAAATGCCCAATAGGATTCCTTAGCCGATGGCATCGTTTTGACCAGAGATGAAAAGCCCCTTTTATCAACGACCTTCATCTCCCCTGTTTCACACTTTTTCTTCTTTCATTGTGTGGGTGCAGAAATGGCTATAGAGCTCATGATGGATTACAGAAACGGAAATTTCATGGAGAAAATGGAAGACAGCGTAGTTCAAGAGGCAGCATCCGGGTTCCAGAGCGTCGAGAAGCTAATTAGGTTGCTGTCCCAAAACCAACAACAACAACAACAACAACAACAGAATCAGGAGAAGCTTCAATCGCCTTCAAGTTCGACGAAATCTTCCATGGATTTGGATTTGGGCTGTCAGGCTGCGGTGGATGTCGCCGTTTCCAAGTTCAAGAGAGTGATTTCCCTCCTGGGTCGACCCAGAACCGGCCATGCCCGTTTTAGACGAGGCCCTGTTCTCGCCCCTGCTGTATCTGTATCTTCCCCTGCTATACATAATCAAGAAACAGAGCAGGAAACCAAGGTTTATTTTGCGACCCCGATCCAGCAGGTTCCGCCGCCGGTTACTTACCCTCATCAGGATTTCTTGATGGGAAAAAATGTGGGGCTGGAGAGGAAAGATTCATCCGCCACCATTAATTTTTCACATTCTTCCGCTGGGAATTCATTTCTGTCGTCTCTAACTGGGGACACCGACAGCAAACAGCCATCTTCATCGTCTGCCTTTCAGATGACGAATTTTTCTCAAGTTTCTTCCGCCGGAAAGCCGCCTTTGTCTTCTTCCTCTTCTTTTAAGAGGAAGTGCAGCTCTGAGACCCTGGGTTCTTCCAAGTGCGGCAGCTCTTCCAGCAAGTGCCATTGCTCCAAGAAGAAGTAAAGAACTTACCCTATATAATTACCTTTCTATTTATTGTTCATACTTAAGCTTGTTATTGAATTTTGTTTGGGTTTTTTCATTTGTTCATGACAGAAAGCTGAGAGTGAAGAGAGTGGTGAGGGTTCCGGCAATAAGCTTGAAGATGGCTGATATTCCACCGGACGATTACTCCTGGAGGAAATATGGACAAAAACCAATCAAGGGATCTCCTCATCCAAGGTATCTATCTTCCCAATCTTTTGAACATTAAAAATTTTGCCTGAGAATTTGTGTTTTCTCTAACTCAGTTATTTTTATCATTGAACAGAGGGTATTATAAATGCAGCAGCGTACGAGGATGCCCAGCTCGCAAGCACGTAGAGAGAGCTGTAGATGATCCGTTGATGCTCATCGTCACCTACGAAGGCGAGCACAATCACGCTCTCTCCATTGCCGAAGCCTCCACTCTTATCCTTGAATCATCATAAAACAAGAGTATATCATTCAATATATCAGTAGATGAACAGTTGCAGTAGCGGTAGAATGCATAGTAGCAGTAGTATTAGGTCCGAAAAAAACAAAAAAACTCAGCTTAATCTCGAAGGAGATTAAGTAGGTTCGTTTGTTCATCCACTGTACCATATGGGATTCTGAGTTTTTTTACTGTGAAATCATTGATTGTTATTAATTATCATGGAAAGGAAGGAGAAGATCATGGATTTGGTATTTGATTTTTTTTTCTCTTTTTTTTTTTTATTAGTACTTTATTTCTGGGTGGTTGTTTGTTTTTGGATGCTTACTGCTTACTTTCCTTACCCAATGGAAGCAATTTCCATAGAAGAAATTATTGTATGGGAAAAAATTAAGAGCAAGGAAAGGGACTTGGTCAAAGAAACGGACAGCTGAGAACCAGCAATATGTCGTGTTTGGGAAGGTTGACTGAAAGAAACAGGATAGAAGGCTGACTTAATTAGGAATTGGGATGGTCTATTTTATTTTCGATTTTTCTACCTCTTGTTTTTGGATATACGTTGAAAGTATATTGATTATATATATTTAAATAATTATTATAAAAAATTAAAAATTAATTTTAATTTTGTTAATTATTTAATTAAAATTGTACAGTAAAATACCTAATGTTGAGCTCATGACATATACATCCACACCTTCTCTTAAAAGGTGAATAGCCATTAATCTAGAGGCAGTTAGATTAATGGTAAATTTTAATGAATAATAATTATGGTTACATACTATGTCCATTTAGTCGTTAGTTGAGCAGGTAAAGACTAACAGCCTAACTCGAATGTTTACACAATTCAAGTATTTACACTTATCAAATCCTACAAATCTGGTTTTAAATATTGTTTTAAGGGCAAAAGAGTATGATGGCAGTGGTAAAGAATATATTGGTGCACCAATGACTTATTAGTCTGAATAGAAAGAACTTAATTTTTCTTAAATAAGATTTTGAGTTTAAATCTTATAAATGGAGAAATAGATGTTAATAAAATTTTTTTTTTAATGAGTGTAATGTGATTTAATTTTAAATTAATTAAAATTTAATATAATTATTAAATACTAAAAAATTAATAAAAAAAATACAGTGCTGCGAAAGAGTTGCAGATAAACTTTGTAAAAGTAGTTTTATGTGAGAGAATAGAGAAAATGGAGCTAACAAATCAAGTATAATACAACAAAAATGAGTCGGTCGGTAAGGGTCTGTTTGGGTTCATTAATTAGGGAGTAAGGAGAATAAAACAGTGGATCTTGAATCTGAATAATTGGAAATGGAAAAGTCAGAGAAGGTGGGTGGGGGGGTCCCAACATTGTTCCCTGGAATTTGTTGCTTAGCGTTGTTTTTGAGTTTTTGCGTTGCCTTTGCTCCAACGTCAAACTTTCACAGTGAAGATGGTTCCTAAAAGTCGTCCATCGTTATCATTTCATGATTTGACAATTTGGTTACCACATCTCAAAGTGTGAACTTGGAATTAAAGGAAGAAAAAATAGTTGGATTCTTTGACTCTCTTAAACTTAATAGCAAATAAAAAAAATTAGGTAGTTTACATTATATAATTTATATAATTTAAATTACTGTATAATAAATGAATTTTTTTTTTTAATGAGAGTTGTTATTATCTTATGGTGTGAACTAGAAATTTAAGGAAGAAAAAATAGTTCTGACAATAAGCAGGGCCAAGTGTTTACTCAATGACTATACTCTAGTCCCTGTACCATATTGTGTCAACTAAACACTTGATACTGTTTCTAAAAGTTTGTAGTAACTTTTAAGAAAGCAGTTTCTTTTTAAAATTGTCAACAAAACTACCCTGAAATTTATTAGCTTAAACACTAAAAATAATAGTTGTAATTAGCTTAAATTACTGGTTTATTTCAACAAATATGAATTTGATATATTTCACCAAAAATATGAATTTGATATTGCGTTTAATTTTTCTGTAAACTAATTTTATGAAAGAGTTTTTCCCTCTCTGTTTTGGGGTTTGAAATTTGAGAAGTAAAAGTAAGCAAAATAACAACAACAAAAAAAGGGTCAGTGATTTTTTTTTTTTTTTGAATAGGTTTACATTTAGAAGATAGAAGATTTGAACCTCAATTCTTAAGTTAGGAGATATACTTTACAACTTAATTTATAACTGTCGAATCATGAGGTTTGGGTGTCAACAAAAATAATTTATTAATAATCTTATTTCTGTGGAAATGAAAAGTACTAACTTTAAAATGCATAGTACATAAGCATAGTCAGTTAGAGAAAGTCTCTCTCTTCTTTCCCCTTTTTTCTCCCTTCTCTCTCTTGATTCTGCCTCTTTTCTCTGGCATTGCGTTTGTTTTGATCGGAAACCTTTGAGCTTCCGAGGTTTTGATGCTTGAGCTGCTGGGCTCCCCGACTGCTCAAGCATGCTGGAGTCGGTTTGTGCTCCCTCCTTCGATGACCCTTCGGGGTCTGTCGGTTTTTGGGTCCCTTTCCGGTGACCCCTTTTGGTTTTTTTGTTTTTTGGTTGTTTTGTTTTGTTTTATGTTCTTATATAGTTTGTTTTTTCAGATCCAGTGACCCTCGGCTCTTTCCTGTTGATCTTGGTAGGGACTCGTTGGTTTTTTCTTTTGTTCTGTTTGGTGCAGATCTGACGACCTTTTTTCTCTTCTGGCGGATCTGAGGTGGCGCGCGCGAGGGCTACCAGATTTGACGCCCACCGTGGCTCTCCTGCTGGTTTCGAGGGACTTCTGCTGCTAGATCAGGTGATCGCCCGGCATCTTGGAGCCTGGTGCTATTTCTTCAAAGGTAGATAGAAATGTGTCTCGTATGGATCGGTCGACCGAAAACTGTGGTTTTTCCGGGGTTGTTCGAGTGCTGAGTGCACCTCCCTTCAGCCTC